TCATTCAACTTGATTGCTTTTACATTGTATGGGATGGCGCAGGAAGTCCTCAGATCTTCCTTTTGAAACGGGCCGTCTTGACCAAACGAAGCAGCCCGAACTCCCCCAAAAAATGGCCCGCCGGCCCGCTGCGGCACGCAGTCGTCCGAAGGATCGGTCGTGAGCAGAGACACCCTCGGTACAGATCGGACTGTGGAACGAGTCTGTCAGATCTTCCCGGTCTGGGGATGCCGAAAAGACGGTAAGTATAAGTGAGAATCCTGTTCGGAAGGCACAGACACATGACGACGTGGGCCACCCTCACTGATCTGTTTTGTTTTCGGGGGTTCCTTCACGAACAGGAGCAATGGATGATTGGATAATGATTATATCATTGGTGTCCACTGTCCACTGTCCCATCAACATACATCCACTGAAGCCAAGTATGTTCAGGTGCGCGAGTTCTTGCCGTTGTCCTGTCACCTTTTCGTTCTGGTGTGCGGCCCAGTGTCTGCGTTGCACGCGGTACTCGTCGACACAGCCAGTGCCATCACTCTTCTTCGGTTCCGTGGAACGTCCGAAGATGACTTTCCTAGAAAGAACACAGGGGAGATTGAAGTTGATGTCAGAGTGTATGCCCAAGCCATCGAGAGGGGGAAAGCCATGAGGTCGGTGGCAGCAGAACTGGAAGCAACATGCACAAGGCAGGCTGTCCGGCTGTCCGAACTGGTTGATCCTTGCATATACCTGCAAAATAGAACTAAGAGTGACATGTGGATATTAGAGGCAAAGACACATCATGATCATTCATGATCCAGTACATATTGATGGATGTGTCATGTCTGAAAGCTGGAAGTCTTCTCTAGTTCTCTTGAGATCGCATGCTGACATCGGCGTTGTTCGTCCATGTGACTCCAAACCACCCAGCTGCACATCCCAGCTGTTCGTCTCTGGCCACTGACGGATAAACAAGGGCAAATGACCTACTAGAGAAGTTTGGTTTATGTTTCCGTCATTTCTCCAAAACTAAGCATGTGCAGTACGCTACATCAAGCAACTATCGTACCTGGTCTTGATGGAAGATTGACCTTCAAAACCACCGGACACCACTGCTTTTGCCCAATTGGTGCGTTCACCTCGGCGCACCCCAGGTGGTCGACCGAGTTCCTCGCGCGTTCCCCCGTCGAGTGCCACTGGTGGGCCTCAGGATCCGAAGTGGTCCTCGGCGTGGAACACCCTGCTGTGCGGGAAGAAGCTCCTTGGAGACTGTGAAGTGGTCGACGCGGTGGTACTGCTGGGTGGTACTGATGAGGGATGGTACTGTTCAAAACCGTTCAGCCCTGCCAAGTAGCGAACTGGTCGCTCCATCCCAAACGCGCCGGACGCAGAGGAGGTGATCGTCCAAACCCCCGGAACAGCAGCCGGTGGCCGCATGGATTGGACGAACTGGCCGGAGCACCTGAACAGTGGTGTTCATACCATCCTATTAAGAACAATTTAAGAACCAACCAACAAAACAAAAGGCGTTTGTTTGGTTTTGTTTGGTAGAGCACCCAATCTTGCTGTGTAAAGAACCTATACAGTTCAAAAACGATCCTTAAAGATCCTTGAAGCAAGATCCGAAATCAACAAGCTTATATGAGAAAGAAAACTACATACATTTCATTACAAATCTACGAGTGAGCCAGAGCCTGCACAGTCAATCAAAGGGCCTGCACGATTTTCCTTGTTGATCTTCAGTCTGAGGCGTTGGGTGATGTTCCCCAGAGACACCCCTGCTGAGACCATTGGTACGGGCGGCTCAGAGAACCGACTGCGGTCAGTCCACCGGCGAGTCCAGTTCATGCCCCACCGGCCCGTGGCTCGCTGAATGGCTCGCTGAGCTCGGTTGCGGAGGCCGATGCACCGACACCGTGTTTTTTCATTGGCTGCCTTTTTGGGAGGGCCGGCGGCCGGAGGCATAATATGAATAATTAGTCGTGCTGGGGGTTGTTTTAAAGCAGGTCAGTGGAGCTGATCGTGCATTTCGATCATGTATGTTCTTTTTTGGATGAGCCACTCAAGGTCACTCCACTGTCCATTCCCATCCTTTCCCCTGTGTCCCAATGGGGTGCTTAAACCCTGAACCTGGTGACCAGCCCTGGTGTACATCGATCTTTTGTATCACATGTTCAATTTGACAAATCTTCCCAGGCCGAGGTGATTTGGGTGAGAAGATCTGGACTCATGTCGGTTTCCCGGTGACAGATCAGACTTTGAAGAAAAACAGATGAGGAATCGAACGTCGAGCCCTTGGAGGCCCTGCACATCATGTGAATATCAGTTGTGTCAAGGTCTGACTGTCACATATTATATCATATTATTGTCACATGTGATTTGAGTCTGCTGGAGACCACCCCAGCTAAAGACCACCCTCACATGTCATTGGAGTAATCAGCTGCTCCGGATGGTACATTTGTCCCTCTCAGGTGCTATGGAGGGTGATGCCTATAAGGAGTGCGCTTCTTGGGAGGCTAAGGCAGCATGTTCAAGATGATCAAGATTGACAGACTTGCAAATTCGCTGTGGCATTTGTGGCTCAAGATTGGTATCAATGAGGTATCCCCCTAAATACACAAGCAACAGGAATCGTGAAGGCAAAAAAATACATCAATCCTGAACTGTCCTTTTCTTCGGCTAAAGAACCAAGAAAAATACTCGTCGTGAAGACTCTTGATCTCCAGGTTCTCATCCACTTGTTCCGTGCCCCAAAAACGCCTCCAAAATGGAGTCAGTCTATCCAATTATGACTCCTTTTGCCGCGTGAGCGTGACCGATGCGGCCTACCACTTATCCTTCCCGAGCTTTCGTGCTGGGTGGCGATGGAGTGGGACAGACTGGCCTGGCTCACCTTTGTCATGATTCGCTGATGGGCGCTGATTGGCCCTCATCGAAGGCCAAAAGAGTCTCCCATCGGCAAAGTTCATTGAGTGGCGGTCCGAATTCCCCCCGTGGATCCAGGCCGCTGTTATAGTCTTAAGCACCAGCATGAATGAAGTCACACTGGATGCGCTGGAACATAAAAACCAGTTGTTGCGGGTGCTTTCTGGATGCACTGGCATGACATGACTCTTAAAATATCCTTTAAAACAAGGCTCTCCCCTGGTTATAGGTTGGTGTTCATTATATACACCGCTGGGGACACAGCGTTGATGAGGTACAACGAACTGCAAATGTCAATTTGTGCAAGAATGTCGTGGGGAGCACCGTAACAAAAAAGGTCGTGCCCGCAAAACTTAAGCATAGGCAGGCAACTCCACGACAATCAGACCTTGACACGATCAACCGCTCAACAAACACGTGCTTTGTAAGCGTTGCGTTGCAGGACTTGCCACGGACTTGGCATGGACTCAGGTACGACTAGCAGTGACTAGCATGCTCCAAGGAGATAGGCATGGGCATGAGCGAATGCGTAAGGGTTCCCTTTGGTCAGATGCTAGACCACATGTTGTCACGATTTGGGATATCTTGGACCGCCCCACGTTCACTACCTCCCTTTTGTTCCGCCCATGTCCTCCAACTTGAGGTCCATGGTGACGGACCTGCTCTTCTCCTGGAAGATCCTTTGGGGCGGGGTCCGTCCATCGAGTTGACTTTTGTGGAGGTGCCGTATTGGTGGCTCGAAGCGGATCTGAAGACTTGCGTGCAGAGTCGCGGAGCTTCCGTTCGCAACGATTGCGGCATTCTGCCACCTGAGCTGCAGGAAGAAGAGAGTTCCGGTGATTTGACCAGTTCATTACCCAGGGTTGACCACCTACCCAGGGTTGCATGTCCATATGCGGTTTTTTCATGCCTAATATTAATAAGTGCCGGGATTGTAGTTGTGTTTCCTTTCCCTTCCTTTCTACAGATGTTCTGTGAGCCCAATGGAGGAAATTGGCAGAGGGATTTGTTCTCTTCACCTTTCAAAAATCACTGCTATTGGGGGGCTTTTTGGGCGATCCCAGGCTGGTGGACGTCAGCAATCCCGACAGCTTCAAAGCTGCTCTGACACGGAGCAAATGGGCGATGTCTGCGGGTTTGCAGTGCCAAATCGTCTTGAGCTTTTGGGGTCCCTGTGGTGAAGGAACGACGCGGCCACGTGCCGTTCAAGCTGAGAGTCTAGAATGGCTTGCGGATGAAGTGAGTGTGGTCAAGCCTGGACACTTCGACTGTACCCACCATGGATCTGCAAGCTTTCAAGTGGAGTTGTTTCTGAAGGTGCTGACGCTACGACTTTTGTGGCTGAATCTGGAGTCTGTTGAGGGCCTGGCAAAGATTTCAGGCATGTGCACTCCGACCACGCCATCTAGATCATCCAGACTCTGGACTGGTCCTGCCCTGAGCTCCCGTGCCAGCTACTCTGCTCCCAGTGCTCCAGCTACATCTGCTCCCGGTGCTCCAGCTACACGTCAGCCGAGCCGCAGTCCAGGGCCACCAAGATGTGCCAACATCCTGCCCGCGCGCTACCGACCTGGTGCTTTTACCCCGGAACCACCTCCCCGGGGTCGAACCTGCTGGGGCGAAGGAAGGAGCTGGTCACCTCGTCCAGCACCGACCCTCCACCCGCGACCGAGCCAGCGCCCACCGCGCACCGAGCCAAGCCCGCGCCCACGAAGCCCGCGCACCGAGCGGAGCCCGTGGAGCGCGGGGTCGAGGTCGGGGTCCCGACCGCGGCCGAGCGGTCTGACGCCGAGCGGCACGGCAGCGGAAGCGGCGCCGGCCGAGGTGCACGTGCGGTTGGAGGTGAGTCCGGCCAGACTTGCAGCTGCCGAGGCCAAGCGCATTGCAGAGGCACCTCATCGACCGAAGAGATCGGGAGAGGTGGAAGCAGAGATGGTCAACCAGAGCACTGCGAGGATGGAAGAGACGTCCAGGGAGTGCATGAGGAAATCCAGCACAGGCTTGTTTAAGGTAGACCTTGATCTTGGAGGGGGTGTTGTTGCCCCAATCACCGTGCATGAAGAGACGGACTTGCAGGCAGCATCTGCGGAAGTGGTGCAGAAGCATGGCCTGAGCAAGCTGGAGGGGAACCGCATTACCAAGTACTTGCAGAGACTGCGAGAGGAAGTGCAGCCCAAAAAAGCTGAAACCACGGTCTCAACCAGAAGACGTGTTGTTCCGAGACAGGGCCATGGAGATTCTTCAATATTCTTTACACTCTTCTTATCCGGGAATCAACCATTTATAACATTTTATAACCATTTCACACTGGTTTTGGGTTCAGGAAGACCAAATGCGGTGCACACATGTTGGAATTATTTTGCCAATAAATCACCGAATGTCTTGGCCAAACAGCTGTTTGGCTCTGCCTATACAGTCACACTCCCCGCAAGCCAAGTAATTGTCTATACATCTCTATACATATACTCTCGACTAATGACAAAGGAGTTGTAAAACGTATGGTGGGTTTTACAATTCCTATGTCATGGACTTTAAAGTAGAGAAACACATCAACACATGGTCACACAAGAATAGCTTTAAAAAAAAACAGAAGGCTGCCGGAAAAGATGAATAAATGACGTGAGATAGGAGTTGTAAGTACCAGGAGGCATGATGAAACATGATGAGCAGGCCGATTCTTATGTCATTTGTTCTGTGTGCATCAATTCCCCCCCTCCCTGAAAAAAATAGAACTGCTTGATCATCAGCTGGCGACAATTCCCAAGTCATGAGGCTTGAATCAGCAACTCTGCAATTTTTGTGTTCCCAATGACTTAGGAGTAGTGGGCCACAACTACTATGTCACTGGCCCACACAAGTCCTAAGTCACCGGTCGGTAGTATATATATATATATATACAGTAACTCAAGCTGCACATGTTAGTCAACTTCCCAGGGTTCCAGTGGACCGGCCCCCACTGGTATTGTTTGTAATGCCTTGAATGGTCTATGAACTCATCATTGCTGTTAACCCGTTTCTGCTTGCAACCAACAAAAACTGAAAAGAGGCCTCAACCGACCTAGACACGTCTCCGCATCAGCAGAGCAAAAGATAGCGAAAGTTCTGCCCAACTGATTCCGAGAAAGAAAAGCCGGGCCACAAGGGTTGACCGGGTTGACATCCTGAAACATTGACATCAACCACAAGGTCCTAACACTATCTAACACTACCATACCCAACCTGAAGCACTCCCTGAGAACCCTTTTTTGTACCTGAAAGTGACAAGTCCACAGAGTCTTCACCTCGGCATCGATCTGAGCGCCGTGTGCCATGGACGCCTTGCAGCTACGCCATGGATGTAGAGGTTGAAGTCGTCGTTTGCCTTTGCAGCGGCCGCAGTTGCAGGTTGAACTCGTCGCCGAATGCCACGGTCTTAAGCTTGAAGCTGGCCGCTCAGGAGGAGTTGCTGCAGGCCGAGAGTTCTCGGGAACTGAAGGAGTCGACAAGAGTAAACCTCTATAATATACAGTGCAGTGCAGTGAACAGGACCGAGTTAGAGCCATGGTTCTCAAGGGCCAAGGGTTGTGAATCAGAATCAGAATCCAAAACATATAAGGTTTCAATGCCATTCGAATCCATTCGATGCCAAGAGTGGCTTGGAAGCGTACATACTGGGTATGTGGAGTACGGCACCTTTTTGGTTTGCGAGCCCTCGGAAGCGCCCAGACAGCAGCCTCGCGTTGGCTCAGGGGTTTCTTTGCTTGACCTCGACAGATGGACAAGTCTTGGAATTGGATCGGAGCCTGGATCGAGGTGGACGGATGATGGACGGAACAGGAACAGCCCGAAGATTTTGAAGGAACGGGAACAGCAAAGGTCTTGGTGGATGCATGTGGATGGTCACAATGTTCTGGAGGTTCAACTTTTGTTCTTTCGGCAGGGAAGGTTTTTTGGAGGTCTACGCTCGTGCAGGTTTGCCACGCTTCAACTTTTTACTCAGTTTTGTAGTCCTTGCGTCGGCCTTTGTTGACAGCATTTGACAGCAGAAGTATAGGGCGTTGCAATTAGAGGAATGGAACTGTTCTTCTTAGCTCTCTGACCGAATTGGGTGTGCACCCCATTAGAAGGACACATAAGAGCACCCTTTTGCAATCTTTTTGGTATAGGAACTCGGCCCATCGCGAACTGGTCCCACTGCCTGATTCATTCCACGGAAAACGGATGAAGGGCCGGACAGCAAACAGTATCCTCAGGTCCAAGAACCTCAGAAGGTCGTCAGACCCAATCTAGCTGGTGCTTGGGAGGATCTGAGGATATCCACCCTTTAAGAGCCAAGGAGCTTCAGGGAGTTCTCTAACCACTTGCTAGCAAAAAGAGTTACCTGCCTTTCAGGTCCCTGCGAGCTGCTCAGGACTCTTCATGATGTGGGCCTTGGCTTTGGCGGCATGGTGACGGCCATCGTTCAGCAGGTACATTTGGCAGCAACCAGCTCAGCCTTTGCTGCTTTCTGGTCTGGTGAAGGAGGACGAGTGGTGGTTTGGGGCGATCCTTGTAATGGAGGCGATCTGAGTGACTTGGAGGATGGTGAGAGGGGGATGGATGGAGAGCTGAAAAGGGGGATATGTCCTTAAAAAAGCAGAGACTAAGGAGAGTGCAACATAGTGCAACGACTGTTGTTGTCAACTTTGATCAAACAGAGCACTTGTTGGGGGAGGGAACCTTCCTAAAAACCCCTAAGGAGCAACGCAGCGAAGCCAAGCACGGCCCCAAAGGGTGGGAGGCGAGCCCTTTCGATGTCGGGACGGAGCTGGACATACCTGTTGGTTCTATACTTCCAAGGTAGAGAATCCCGATAGTTGTGGTGTTTGACTGTGAAAATTGGTAGCGGACCCTCACCAAGAAAGGAACACCGTTCCA